CTTTATCTATATTCCAGTCTCTAGTGGGTAAGAAGAAAGAAGTTCAGGTTTAGCCTCCTGGCATGTAGTTCATTTGCTTTTAGATATGAAGTTGCATAGTATTAGGAGCAGGATGTAGAAGAGCTTGTCTTGTCAGACTAAGAGTTGTTCCAATGTGAGTTGATTTTACAGGAGAAAACTAAGCTGGCAGTTAATGGTGCCACAGGAGGAACCCCTCGTACACTGAGCCTAAGACTGATACAACATGCTTTCTGTGTGCTTTATAGGAGTAGGCAGAGCATAGGTATAGGGAGTCTTTGCTGTTTAATAGGAAAAAAGAGAGGGTGGGTACTTACTGGATGGGAACTGTTCTGCATAGTTACATGTGTACACACGTATTAAGTCAACTTAAAATAAGGTGACTTAACTAAGTCAATTTAAGTTAAGCCACATCAGAGCGTACCCTCATACAGCTCCTTGATATGGTGGCAGCCATCTTGGGAGCTAAGTTAACTTAACGGTTGCAGCTCAAGATAATACACCAGTTAAGATGACTCTACTCCACATACATGTGTACATGCTGACCATTATTTTGACTCCAAAAAGTTAAGCCAGCTTAAATGCCAGAAAATTAGTACTTGTGTACCCATAGGGCAAGGCAGGTTAAATCGTGAAACATTGCTTGAAACAGCTGGCAGGTTGTGAGGGAAACTTGGTTTGTCAGAATGGGGCTATTTTCACGCTGAAAAGAGAAAGTCCTTTCAAGTGGTAATGCAGTATGTCCTTGCTGTTTAACAGAAAGCTATGATAAGATCATGTGCGTTAGGAAAACAATGCTTGGCAGAGCTGCAATTCATTTTGCTAAAAAAAAAAAAAGAAAGATCTTGTGCGAGTTGTCTTATGGGAAAAGATCTCTGTTCAGACAGGTTTTTATTCCATCGACCATTTTTTCAGTGGAGCATGCGCCCAGTGAGGTCAATATTGTGTCATTTCCCTCTTACCCTTAGAGAGCAAGTTCATTCACTGATGGGTTCAAAGCCACAAACAGTACCCCTCACCACCAAAATTCATTCTCATTTCATGCCTTCTTGTCTCTTTCCCACCATACAACAGACCCAGTTTCCAGCCATTGGTCCCCTTTAGTGTGGTACGCATCGAATACCCCTCTAGTTACTTCATTGTATTTTAGAGGGCTCCTAAACTATATACGCTCAATGCATTCCATACTTCCGCTTTCTATTCTTTTATCCACAGCTCTTTATCTGTATTGTGCTTTTCTCAGGATTATTTGAGGGTTTCTTAAGAACTGTGTTTTTTATGGGGGTAGGGAGATAACCGTATGCCCAATCCCCAACTAGGAGGACCAGTGAATCACTCCTTTCTCCTTTGCACGGTCCAGCTTCCTTCCCATCCGTGGGGTCATGTGTTTTACAGGAAATAGAAACTCTGTTTTTCCAGAAAGCTGAGGCTTGCGGAAGAATTGAATTTTGAGACGATTTACAGCACAGTGAATGGTTTTGAACAGTACAGCACCAGCTTTCGGTAATGGGCCTGCTCAATTATTAACAACAATTGTGACATTAAGTTAAAAAAAAATCACAAACTAATGTTAGAAAAAATACCAAAGGCGTGGAGGAAGTTGATAATAACCACTTTGAGGGAACAATAAAAGGGTGAGGGGATAAAAGTGAATGGAAGGACTCTTGTGGCCTCTTCTGCTTTGTTCCAACTTGCCAAACCCTGTCTTTGGGGCCTTTATCTAGACCTAGTTATGACTATAGAGCTGGAAAAATAGTTCCAGTGGAGCTGAAATACTTTACTTCATCTTCTACTGGAGGGAAATTGGGAATAAATGCAGGATATGTATATCACTTTTCTAGATATTGAGGAAGTGTATAATAATATTCAGAGACATAGCCTCTGGGCTGCAGTGAAAGACTTCAAAATTTGAAAAAAAATATTAATGTAGTACAACTGTGTATTGTGGTTCAAAAAGTAGAGTACAAACAGGAGAGGATTCAACTTCATATTGCAATAGGAACATTATATTGCACTAACGCCAACACCGTTTAATAAGTGAAAAGAAAGGAGCGATATAATAATTCCAAAATGTTAAGGATAGGGTGGATTTAATGGCCATATTTAACTTACTTCAGATATGCTGATGTTTTGGCTACTACAGCAAGGACCAAAGATATAATACAATATAATACAAATGAGGACTGGAGACTTGAAGCATGTAACAAGAAAAAATGGGGTTTGAGATAAAGCCAAATTCATGGTTTTAAGCTGATCACGAGAGAATCTTTGACAAGCTGATCAAGTGGTCGATAGCCACGGTTACAAACACGTTAGATACCTTGGAGCATTAACTGCTAATAACGATTAGAAGAGAGAAGTGGGACCTTGGTATATAGGGGGGAGTGTGTTGCCTGTTGTTTTTGCAGAGAAATTTTAGTTCTAAGCGACTACTTGGAAAGCTTGAGTTTCAGGAACGTGAGATCTTGATGAAGCCTTGCTTTAGATCAACGTGAGACTTGAATGCATTTTAGAAAGAAGAAAGGCGAACTTAAAAAACAAAAAAAAACCCCTTTGTAAATAGAACAGCGAGGTGATTTTTTGAGTTAGTAAGGGAGAAAGATGTACAGCGAAGATGTTCACATAAAGAGCTGCGTGTGGCTACTGGGGAACCAAGCACTGCGGTAAACTTAAAACCCAGTGACTTCAGTGGGCAAGGCAGAGCATTTGCATTCAGAAAGGCTAGCAGCTAAGCACCATTTGGGAAGCCATTCATCTGGTATTCCAGACTTAAGAGCTCTTAACATGAGTTGTTCTTTAAAAATAATGGCAGGAAGCAGCGTGAGCAAACTGTGAAGTAGTCAAGGACTTCTAGGCTGAGTGAGCTAGGCATCAGTATGGGAAGCTTGTGACACAGGTGCTATAAGTCATGCAGTTCTGGATAGAAACACTAGGCCGGTACTTCAGCTTCAGTGCCACTGGTTGTGATGGAGCATCACCGTTCTGCACCAGTAAGTGAACTGTCCCCGTTCACCTTGTATACTCATTCACACTCGTGCAAAGAGTCCAGCGGGTCTTAAAGCTATCAAGTCAGAATCAAACCATGCTGAACGTTGACTGCCGGTTAAGTAGTTGCTGTCAGTAATTAGACACATTTCTGGCACTTCAGAAAGAAGAAATTCAGCAGTGGTCACAAGTGACGAGGAGCATAAATCACTGCATTCCTACGGTACCTGGCAGGGGTATGCAAAACAGGCTGTATTTGATTCAGATTTGGCCCAAATCAGGGGGCAGTGATTGGATTAATTGATTTGCATCACTGTCTGGATTCGATTCAGCCGAATCCGAATCTGAAGATTCAATGCTGATTCACGGAATCAGCGATTCGGCCATAGACGCAGCTTTAAATGTTTTTTCTACCTACCTCGAGGTACCAGGGGTGGCTCACGAATGCTGCAATGGTGCAGCGGATGGAGTGTCCCACAGGAGCGTAGGGGGCCCCCCTGCGTGCTTGGTGGCGGACCTGGAAGTGGACCGGAAGTACTTCTGGGTCAGCAATCAGCTGCGGGGGAACCCAGGTGCTGCCCAGACCCAGGAGGCACCAGTTGCTGAGCCAGAGGGTGGGATGGGGAGGGGGTCCCCTGCGGCAGACCCAGAAGTGGACCAGAAGTGCTTCTGATCCACTTCCAGGTCCACTGCCGAGTGCCCTGGGGACTGCCCCCCCCGCCACACTCCCATAGCACGCTCCCTCCGCCCCACCACCTCGGCGTTCACAAGCCACCTGGTACCTTGAGGTGCGTAGAAAAAACATTTAAAGCTGTGTCTATGTCTAAATCTTTGAATCTCTCCGAATCGATTTGGAGGGCTCCAGTTCAATTCAGAGAGATTAAAGCGTCTCCTGATTCTATTCAGATTCGGAAATTCGGCTGCTGAATCGGGCCGAGTTTGCTGACTCGAACCAGTGACTGAAACTTCCCACAGCCTTAGTACCTGGGCCATTTATTACTTCAGTTGTTAGAATATGCAGCTGCTCTCTGAATAGTGTGATGCAGAAATAACAAATATCACAAATGGCTAGATTATCACACAATTTCATTTTTTTAATGTAATAGGTCTGGCCCACAACTGTGTGTAAGCATTTACACCTGCACTTTGTGGGTTTTAAACATAATCATTTGGTTCTATTACCGCTGACCCTAAGTTTGCACTGTAAGTAATGAGTGACAAGTGGTCATTAGTAGCTGTCTCTCTTCTCACAAGTCACACCTTTAAAGTTTGGTATCCCTACAGTGTTGGATTTCTAGGAGATCTAAGACCAACTCTGGGTAGCAATAGATTTTTTTTTTCACAGCTCTTAGGCTGTGACCTCTATTCTTGTCCCCTGAGTGGAGGTGAAATTGGAGATGGATGAAGGTTTCCCAGCTTCCTAAGGTACAGGGACTCCTGTGTCAGTGTTTCCTGCATGGAAGCTCAAAGAATGGCATTAAGAAATAGAAAGTAACTAATTAGACAAACTGTAACTTGTTGTGATTTTTGTGGTTTTTGATTAAAAAAAAAAATTAGGTGGTGTTGGTTCTGGGAACATTTTTGATTGATTTAAAAGAAGCCGCATGTAGCAGCCACGCTATTTACTAGTGACACGCAGCCGTTCGGTGTTCTGCAGAAAGTGTCTGACGTACATGCCTGAGTGTGAACGGTCACAGATGGGAAAATAAAAATGTTGAACAGGTATCACAATTTCATTTTTAATATAAAAATGAGTTTTTAATCACAGATGGATCAACTCAGTGCCCTAAACTATTTTGAATGCAGCAGGTTTCAGTGGGAAGAAACCCAGCTTCTGACCAGAGTCATAATTTTGCATTTCATACTGGAGACGGGATGGATTCATTTATTGCTAAGAAAAGGAGATCGTTACGTGAACTCACACTGACATTACAGAGCAACTGCAACTAAATCTGACAGTCAGAATAACTAATAGATACCCATTGATTCTTTTATAGGTATAAAGGATTTGTTTATACCTACAGAGTGTCCAAGACAGACACAGGGTCATGGAGTGCTGAGGTACGTAGCTCTCCCATTTTTTTCTACGATCTTGTATTCTGTTGAGTACAGTTATTGATGTAGTGCAATTAATCCTGATTATTCACATTTCTTCACTGCCTGATTCACATTTAATTTGATCGATCTCAAGCAAGCCCATCACTAGGGTATCTAGGTGCCAGTACTGACAATCTTGAAGTCATAAATTCATTCTCTGTTACACTTCAGCTCTTGCATAATGCAACAGTGCATTAATTTGCATAATTTTAAATGGAAGAAATATTGTGGCTTTATATATTGATGGGTACAATCAGTACTAATGTTTTCTCCATCCTACATGCTATTAGTACCAGGAATATTCAAGCAGTTCGTTATAATTTACACTCATTTTTAACTTAATTTCTCTACAGATATGTTTATCATTGGCATGAACCAGCTATATAATAGCTGAGATTTGAGATGACATTCATCCTCACTTCTCTTTTGAGGGAACTAGTAAACCTGGAGTGGCATAGCAGTATTTGAAATCATAACAATGATTTAGGTTCATGACATGTGAATACTAATTCTTATTTATTTTCTGAAGTTCTTGTTCTTTGTCTGGATGGAGGCACTATTTTAATTCATAATTAGATTTCAGTTTGCGCATTAATGAACACTGGTTTATAAAACTTAAAGTATGGTTTAGTATGCTTATTTTTTTCTGGAAACCTAAGTCCCATTCTGAAGTTAGTTAGCATTGGACCCTGGAGCTGGAAGTAATTCACAGCTTTTCCTGCTGTAGCAACATGAACAGAGGAATTGGTCTTTAGGCATCAAGTCTGATCCTTGCGTTGGAGTTTTCCCATTCTGGGAATGTGCTATTGGGTCAGAAAGACAGATTCAAGTTAACTCACAGTCCCCCAGCATCCCAGGATGCTTAGTACCTCCCCTGAAAACTACACCTCCCCCCCCAACCCCTCACCTTGCAGGGCCAATGGGCTATCCTGGGTCCAAGCTGTCTGCTCCAGCTGAGCTGGGAGGCATGCTCTAGCCCCCCCGGCTTCTAGCCTGAGCCATTGCAGGGATGTGGCTGTATTTCCAGAATCAAAAGTGGATGTCTATTCACTCGCTTATCTGTTCAATCTACGCAGTTTAGACTCACTTGTGAAGATTGAATCAATTCAGCCTTGGGCTTTTTGACTGTCTGTACTTAGCCAAGATGAGCAAATGGATCTCATTTTGAAACTGGGATACTAACTGATTTTCATATTGGAGGCTGTAGGGTAAAATCCATCATGGCCTGACAGGCTCTCTGAGCTCGGTGAGACTGTACAATAGTGGTTCTGAACCTTTTCAGACTCGAGGCACCCCTCATAAAATGTCAGCTCTTAATTTCACTTGATTTTTGACTAAAGAAAAATAATAGAGGAATTCTGCTGTTGCGTAGAACTCAGAAGGACTACGGTAGGTGAGAATGCTTATAATACTATGGATTCCTCTTTGACATATCTGTGTTTATCTTGTGAATGATATTTGTACACCTAACAGTGCTAACATTGCGTGGCACCCCGCCACACCCTTGAAAAGATCTCAAGGCGTGCCGTGACACCTTGGTTGAGAATTGCTGCTATCCAGTTACATGGCCAACCTCCACCACTCAGCTGGTACTTCGATGCAGAATGCAGCTAGGTGTGAAAATTACTGTGAATTGTTGGCCACATTGATTGTTGATGCTTGATACTCCCTGGTGGCTGTGGGCTACTCTAGGCCTGTGTAGTGCTGCCTGAAGATCAAATGATCTTCTGAGCAATTGATGTGCTTGGTGGTAGTGAGGTTTTCCCTCCCCCTCTCTCCCCCACCTCTATAAGGAGTGCAGCTGGGGTGTTTCCAGGGCACCTCAGCGTATCCCAGGGATTCTGGTCTTTGGAAGGCAGCCTGGCTCCTCACAGGTTTCAAGGGTCAGATCTGGGCCCTGGAGCACCCTAGGGCGCTCACTCTGTTCAGCCTGATTTTGAGTTATTTCTGACACCATTAAGGCCTCTTCATTTTCCTTTGGCAGCTGGTGCTCCTTTCTCTTTTGCCTTCATTCCTTTAGGTATGAAAAAGCCAAGTGTCAATCCCTCTTTTTTTAAAGCCAGTTCATAAACACACTGCAGCACATTCAGAGTCTGGGTGATGAGTGATGGCCCACTCTATTGCTTGTAATGGAGCTAGGATTTCTCCTGCGAGGCACTAATGGTGGGGCAGGGCATGCCTTCCAATGTCACCAGGGTCCTGGGCTGAATAGAGCACAAATGTGGGCATTGCTAATGCCCTTTCTTCAGGATACTGAGCTCTAGACTATGGCAGACACTGGTGTGGGGATGTGCTGAATTATTTAAGAGCTGCTTTTGAGTCCTAGTTCAAAGCCCTTGAAGACTAGGATACTTTGTGATTTGGTTTTTGCAAACATTAAAGTACAAAGGTAGACGAAGTGAGAGCAGTAAACCAGGTAACAGTTTGTCGAGTCTTCCACGCTAAAGACATGGCAGATGGATACATGGAAAGATCACTCATGAGAACACTTGCAAGCAGGCTGGAGTCATGCCGATATTTGCTGATGCAAAAAGCATTACCATAAGCTCCAAGACTTTCTCTAGAGCATCTTATTGGCGTTAGGCGGCCACAGGAGCAAGAACCACTTTACAATCATTCCAATGTGGTGCTTGCTAACACTGAAAGGCTTCAGAGCTTGGGAGACTGGACTGACATACTCACCAGCTCTGTTGAGTCAGGACCTCGGCTTGTGGGAGCTTTGCCTAAGCAGCGTGTATGTTCTCTTGGTGGACCGACCAAAGCTTTTTTTCCTCCGTCACGTCACGTCACGTCACTTGATAGCTGCGTCTAACTGCAGTGGCCATGTTGGTATGTGTTTCAGTTCAAATGTGTCCCTAGTGCTACCCCACAGAAGTGCATGGAGTTATATTAGGCATGAACTTTGGCTCTGCAGCTGCCCTGCGAGACAGCAGGGGGGTGCAATAACAGGTAGGAAAATGAGCTTAACTAGCATGTGTGCAGGTTTGAAATAGCAATGTCCCTGGAACTGGGAGAGGAGAGAGAACAGCTCACTAAGTTGGGCTTAGCTTGAAAGGCCCGTTGAACAAATCTGTCAGGCGGTGCTGAGACCAGCTTCTCTGTTCTTTCCTGTGTTTTTTTTACCTTTGTGCAAATGTCTCCTGAGTTGCTGTAAGTCATAACATTTCTTGGTCTGTTGTTTCCCAGACTGCACCAGGGGTCCACAAAAGATTGTTTCGGAAAGTACACAATCTACTCTCGGCCTTCCAGAAGCCAGACCAAGGCATTGTAACACCCCTGCAGCATCCTGTTGAGAGATGTATGCATCCACAAGGTACCGTGAGGAGCGCCTGAGAGCATCACTTTGTAGAGCCGTCGAGCTTGCTTGCTGTCTGAGGCACGGTGTCTATTTCCTATTCCTCTTGTGTGTATGGAGCTATTGCCAATCTAGGTAGCCAAGGCAAGATGTGGGGCACCCGTACATGCTACGCAGGTATATGTAAGATAGCAGCAAGAAGTGGTGGGAGTTGAGGATCTGATGGCCAATGTCCCACTGCTCTTTCTCATGGGAGGAGCAAAATGTATGAGGATCTGAGCAGAAGGAGCAGCTGCGTAGTAGATGCATCGGGACTTTGTGTTCCCTCCACACTGAGCATCCCAAGTCTTTGGGCAGGGAGGATTGATATATGGCATTCAGTGCACCGCCTAATGTCTGAAAAAAATGTTGTTAGGCTTTTCAAGTTATGAAGCCTGGGGGAGGGGGGTGGTTCTTTTGAGGGACTAATCTACACACCAGTGGCACTGAAAAATACACACCCTTTGATTTTTTTCCCACCTTCTTGAGACTCCGTTCTTTTATATATATAATTTTTTTGTGTGTGATTCTTTTTCTTTAGGGAGAAAGGAAGACCACCGGGACCGTTACCTGCCTTCGTGAAGACCATTCCCACTGTTTAAAGTAATTTAAATCAGCTTTTAAAATGTCTTCTTTTGTACATACCCTAGCACAGAAGCTGTTTATTATAGATAATACAACTCCATGAGTTTTCCTGTAACATTTGCAGAAATGTATATTTAGTAGACGTTTTAGCCTGAGGTTTAAAAGTTTGCTTGAATCTAGATTGAAAAAAAAAAAAAAGATATGGAAGAGAAATAACCAGCAAGTGGATGAATTCATGTTTTCCTCTTCTCTTTGTACCTGGGAGCTTTCTATTTGAATATTCCTCCTCACACTTACTTGAATTCATTTTGGCTTCTTTTTTGTGTTTGATTTTTGACCAAAATTCACCCAAGTGCAAAAAAGCCCCATAAATCTTGTTCTTCAAACTAGGGGCTCCTATGGTGCACATGAACAAAGCTGTGAACAAATTTGAAAGGGACAGGCAAGATATTCCTCCACATCAAACTTTACATTCATATCATATGTCTTCTTGCTGGAACTGTTTGCAGGCTCACCCAGTCAGGAGAAAGAAACAAGGTTGCATCATCTAGGTGAACAATCATAACTAGCTTAGCACAGCTTGAAGGTAGAAAATTCAAATTTGTGATTGAGCCAAAGCTTTAAAAAAAATCAAATGCCTTGCATTATTTAAGAAAAGCCAAATCAATTTAAGGAAGTCGTGTGGGCAGGAATAAAGACGGCTAATTTTGGTAAAATAAATTATTCTTTACAGATAGTCTGTTGCCTTCTTTCATTCCCTTTGCATTTATATGACCATGACGGTAGAATATAGATGCTGTACTGTTTCCTATTATTATATGACTCCATCTTTAAATCAATTCCAGACCCTGCTGAGGCACAGAAAAGTGTCAGAAAAATCTGAGTCTGCATGTAGATTAAAAAAAGGGGGATTTAAACTCATTTTGGGCTTAATTATAGTGCTGACATTGCCTTGCTATAACTAGAAGAAAATGGAAAACAATTTTGAGTAGAGTTAGAGCTCTAAAATAACCGTTGTTGTTAAAGACAAGATCATGTTCAATTTGCACGAGTGGTTTTTGCCGCCTTCTGAGCACTCAAAAAATCATGACTCAGGGGCCCAAATTTCTGAGAGCAGCTTTCAAGTGATAATTTTGGGGGGGATTTTTTTTTTTTTTTGGTGTTTAAATGAATACATTGAGGACTCATGGTTGCCATCTGGCATTTGAATTTTTATGATTCATGGGTTTTTTTGAAGATTTTCTGTGCCACCATGAGGGGGTTGCACCTTTTTTTAAGTCAAGTCAAGTTATGCAAGTGGAGATTCTCTTATGAACGCTTGACTCCAGGAACTGGAACAGGAACCAAATATTGTGACTCAAGCTAAAAGGGCAAAATTTGGCAATACACCATGACTAGTGAGTTTCTACTGGTCGCTGATGATGTAGTGTATGTTGCGTGTGCACATTTGTGCGTGTATGTAGCACCTTCTCCAGTCCAATTGTTTCCTCCCACAGGCCTTGTGGGCTATACCAAAATCCCAATCTGTTACCTCCATCCATAATTTGTCTCGAAACACAGCCTTTCTCTTTGTTGTTTGCCATTTAGCGTATATAATGCTGTGACCATGCAACTGGGTATAACCCATATCCCTGCTAATGGCCAGCTGGATCATTTATACAGATGCACAGAGGTTAGGTAATGCTTAAGACAAGGTTTTATTCCAATATTCTGCAAGTTCTGTTGGCAGGCATGCTTTCCATGCATTGCTACTCTGCCATATGTCAGGGGACCCTGGTGACTGATCTGAGAGGAAGGCTCTGTTCAGAAAGGCTCCAAGTATGCAGTAGTTTGCCACAGTTTTACATGATTGGCATTGCCTCTGGCTTGAGTTTTAATGTGGGTTTCACTTTCCGGTGGACTCCTGAGCTGCAATTGGTCTTTAACAAATAAATGAAATGTCAGCCCATGGCCAAATGCTCATATTGAGCAGTTCCTATGGGATGAGGGGCTACAGTCACATAATAGAGGACTACTTAACCACCAGAGAAGCAGTCACAGACTCAGGGGGGCCTTCCGAAGTCTGGTTATGTGAGCGGGGGAGCAGCCCCGCTGTCCAAGCCTATGGGCTCCATTTACTCCATGTTCCCAAAGCAGGAGTCCCTGCCTGATTTGCAGTGTTATCAGTTCCGACCGGGGCCTAATGCTTCACTGCCCCAGTCTACTCGGAAGCAGTAGTGATTCACCGCATACTTGTCCTTTGCCAGGGTCAGGTTTTTCTTGCAGAGTACTGCAGAACTGAAGTGCTTGGAGGGCCGTCTAATGGCATGAATGCAAGCCTAGAAGAGGACTGGAATATTTCTTTGTGTGCCTATACGAACATTACAACCAAGACCCTTAGTCACCGACTTACTGAAACATTGATCTAGCTACACTGCTGGCTCCCCAGGTGTTTTCAAGCATTTGGTGTCGCTCTTTGGTGTCTGAGTGGGCAACTGTGGCTGTGCAGCATCTGAAGGCCTGCGAGTGTCATAAAGGAACTTTGTTTCTCGCTTGTCAGCATTTAACTTTGAAGTTTGATGAGTTGGAAGTTGTTCTTCTTTAACAGCCAAAATAAAAATAAAATATTTATGGTAAAGCATAAAAATGTTCCTTCAAAACTAACACAGTGAATAAACACACCAAATAAACCTCCCACTGGTCCAGGGACATGGGGAAGGTGGTGCTATAAATCTACAAACATTTTAGTTCCTTGCTTAATGTGTTCCCCCCTGCAAATTAGTTCCAATTTTCAGTTAAGTTGATACAACAACACAAATCCGACCATATAATGTCATATTTTATGGTGTGCTTCTGCATATTGTTCTGTAGCTACTGAGGGTATCAGCTCCTGGTTGAAACAATGTTCTGATCTCAATTGTTTTACAGAGTGGAAGAAAGATTTACTTTTTAATAAAAATACTTTAAAAAAAACCACTATTTTTTTCTTTATTGTTGCGTAATTTAGCAAACATCAGCTGTGGAGGAGAGGTGAACTGAATGGGGAATCATTGGATGCTGGGGAATTTTATGGTTTTTTTTTTTTTTTTTTTG